TGCGGCCCTTGGTGGCTTGCCAATACCCAGTAAGCGGCCCTCCGCCTGAAATAATTGCTCACCCCTGATCTAGAGTGATCTATCCCTGTCATACTCTCTGTGGCATCCACCAACCATCTAATCACAGTTATTTTCTTGTTCTGTTGTTAAGTATATCTTAAACATTTTCAGGAACACAAGGTAAAGTCCTTTTCAGTGTATGTTTCAGATGTAGTAAGTTAATATTGATTTAAATATAAACATAAAAAATAAGCAATACTTAACTCTCACTGCTTTTACTCCTCAAAGCATTTTGCAAATATTGGCTTATTAATCCTTATAACACCCTTATGAAGCAGATAAGTATTAATATTTCAGTCCTACTGAAAGAGAAACTGACGTACACAGATCAGGAGCCTGTTCCTGCACCCACAGAAGCCAATGGGAGCAAATCATTGCCTAACACTACTGAATCAGAACTGATGAATTACTAGCTTATAGTTTTGTACTCAGACCACTCAACAATACTGAAATTGTGAGTCTGAGGAAAGCTTCAAAGGAAGCATTTTATTAGTAATACTGAATGAACCTCCATGATAGATTTTGATTTCAGCATTTACTCCTTTGATTTTCTTGAACAAAAGCCCATATTTTTGCATAGAGAAAATAGATTCAACTTTAATTTATATGATATCTTCATTAATAATGATGTTTAAGTAAGACAACCATTACATGTCTGTAAAGATCATTTAAAAAGAAACAAATTATAGGAGTTACACTGGAAGTTTTCCATTCAATAAGCAATATGGATTTTTAATGGATCTCTTAATTAGGAATTGCTATTAAAATGAAGAGTGAAATACATTAACATAAAGTGATGCTAAAGTAGGAACATAGTTTGATTAAATTCAGTGTCTTCACATTCACACATTGTCAGTAGAGCAAGCATTACAAAATGCCTCAAATGGGTTTTTCACAGCTTCAATTCCTTTTTTTAGATCATTCAAGAAATTAGGCTGTCACACTGTATGCTGTATTGTGGAGTGGCAAATATTACTTCTGTGGTATGATATACAATGCAAGTATGCTTTAATCGCACAAAATTATATCAGTGTGTACAAACACTTAGTCAAAAATAATGAATGTGTATGTGTGTATGTGTACACAGGTACCACACACACAAACATTAAAAGAAATATGTTTTTGACTAGCTGAATAAATATAGCAGATAAAATCCTAACCCAACTGAAGTTAGGAGTTTGGACACTGAGTTCAATTAATTTATCATTTCACTAAAGCAGTCAATATTTGTCCATCTTTTTTCTTCTAGAATTCACTTGTCAGCAATACCAGAGCTCTGCTCACTGATTGTTGTAATGCTGCTTGTGGCTCAGTCCTGGTAGACTTTTGCTGGCATGAAACTGCCACTATTACCAATGAAGGTTTTGAATGGACGTATCACAGGACTGTGAAAGATCAGAATCATGTTTGTAAGTACATTGTCTCTGAACACTTAGGCTAGGTACGACATTTAAAAAGCCTAAGGTGCAATCTAAGTTATGCAGTTTTCTGTAAGCAGCATAGTTTAGACTGGTAGGCTAGGGACAAACATTCAAAAAACCTGAACTGATTCAAGACCTGAATTGATTCAAGATCCAATCTTTGCAGATTGGTCTAATCTGGCTAGGCTAAATCAGGTTTGTAACGAGACAGACATCCCAGAAATGGAGGCACATGCCTGCAGTGGCTCAGGCTAGAAGCTGGGGGGCACTAGAGCAGCCCTCCCTTCCTTCCATAGAGCTGAACTGCAGGGGGCATGGCCATGCCAGGGCAGGATGCTCTGATTAGGGAGGGGTTCCCCCTCTCTGGAAGAGCCCAGCAGGGAATGTTAATCACCTCATTAAGAAAGCAACAGAGGGACATTACCAGCTACCTGTTGATTCTGCCTTTGTCTCCTGTGCCACTGCTTGGAGGTAGCTAGCATGTGGTCTGCTAGCTAATGTTGAGAGGTGTCTGTGAGGGACGGGGGAATGCCTGCTTAAGAGAAAGTAGGGAGGGGATAGGGGGAGTAGGCAGACACTGCTGCACCTGCAAGTCTCTGCTGAAGCTGCAGCCAGGGAGCAGAGCAGAGGAGCCAGCCCTGCTATGGAGCAGAGAGCTCCACCCAGCCCAGAGAGCATGCCAGGATGCTGGGGGAGTCTGATTTAAAGTAAACCAGCAAGGGGTCTGGGACAGACATTGCAAAAACCAGTGAGAGCCAAATCAGTTAAGTCTGATACTACATTCAACCAGGTTTATCTCAAACTGGTTTCAGCCATTCTCAAACTGGTTTATGTGCACTGAACAACTGTTCTGTTACAGGTATAAACCAGTTTCTGATCACTTAAACTGGTTTATGTGTAATGTGTATCCCTAGCCATTATGAACAGAACATACATTTGCCTTTTGGTGGGGGCGGGAGAGGAGTGGACAAATCTTAGACATTTTTAATCCAGTCTATGGGCACATCTGTGTGTGATGCTACATTGCTGTAGTGATGCATTATAGAGATGTAGTATCCACGAGTTTCATAGTTTCATAGTTTGTAGGGTCGGAAGGGACCTGAGTAGATCATCTAGTCTGACCCCCTGCCATGGCAGGAAAGAGTACTGGGGTCAAACGACCCCAGCAAGGTGTACATCTAGCCTCCTCTTAAAGACCCCCAGGGTAGGAGCCAGCACCACTTCTCTTGGAAGTTGGTTCCAGATCCTAGC